ATATATATAGATATATATATATATTTTTTATCTACACATATATATATATATATATATATATATATATATATATATATATATATATATATATATATATATATATATTGATATGCATATGGTGTAAACATAAGATAAGGTTGTGTGGAAGAAAAACAAACATATACAATTATTGCTTTTATTGTTTTAAGTCACTCTAGAAAAGACCAAAGTGCACAGTGGTCTGATAACATGCTTTTCTGATGAAAGTACATTCATTTATTTTTTATCTGGAATATCAAAAAGGGCAATGGCATAGAATTGAAGTTGCCATTAAAACTGGCATTTTGTGTCTAATTTGCAAAAAACAAGTCTAAAAATGTGCATAGCTGTGCATGTCGTTTATGTTTTTATTGTTGTGCATTATGTATTATGTGTCTTTGATTTATTGTGTTTATGTGGACCATCAGTCTTAAAAAAAATCAATCAATTATCACAAAAGGCAGCAGCAGCACGAGAGGGAGCAGAAGCAGCAGCAGGTTGAAAAGCACGCCAAGTTTTCGTTTTTTCTGTTATTGTTGTTTTTTTCTTACTTTATGCACTTAAAAATATAATTTGAAACTCAAAAAAGTGATAGAGCTGAAAATTTGTTTTATCTAATGATTAGGTTATTGGAGTGGTTCTCATTAGTATTCAGGTGGAAGATGATGGTAAAAGCAGGACAATCCAGCACAGTCTGCTTAGTTCTTTTTGTCCAAACATAAGTATCCAGTTCAAATCAATTACTACGTCACACATTATTACATAACGTCAAAAAACAGTCAAAAAATATTTACTTCTCACCTTCATCAGCTCCATTGCAGCACGATTGAATGACTGCAGATATTAGTTGTGTCACAGCGCCCTCTTGTGAAAAGACGTTGCAATAACAGAAATAACATGTTTAAAATGCGAAATTTTATCCCAAAATATTCCATATTTATCTATCTGGACGGTAAACCTTTGAAACCAACACGTACAGTAGGTATTGCATATAACTTAGAACATAGTGCTTCTGGTAACAATATTTATTGTGACCTGCAGAGGGCTCAGCAGTTTGTGTACGAACAAGACATTTCACTTGTTTAAACTATTTGTATCTGGTGTATTTTTAGCTAAGCTTTTTTTCATTTAGTGAAGTAACTAAAGGTGGGTAGAGCAGTCAGTAATTGTAATCAAGTAAGAGTAAGGTTACTTCAAATTACATTACTCAAGTAAAAAATTATGGTGCAGAAAAACTACTTGTAGAATCACGGAAGCCCATTTCCGCCACACATGAAGAGAAAGAAAACTTGTGTCTCATCGCTCATAATTATTATGAGATAGCGTCTCATAATAATGAGATCTTGATAGTATAATGAGATGCTATCTCCTTAGCTAAGGAGATGCTATCTCCTTAGCATCTCAATAGTTTGAGATGCTAAGGAGATAGCATCTCATAAGATAAAGATGTGTTGAAGAAAAACATCATGAGATGCTAATCTGAAATTAGCTCATCAGCTAATTTCTCCTATCTCCTACTAGCGTCTCATTATTATGAAATGCTGCAAGGAGATAGCATTCAGATTAGCATCAGATTAGCGTCTCATTATTTCGAGAAACTGTAAGGAGATAGCATCTCATGATATCTAAAGCTAATTATGACTTAGTTATTTCATAATGAGATACTCTCAATAATGACTAGTTACCTCATTATTATATGATACTAATTAGATTTTTGTACCTATCTCATTATTATCTCACAAAATAGTTGAGTCATACTTATGACATTTAAGGGGTTTTTTTTCATCAGAGTGGCGAAAATTGACTTCCATGAATAACTTTTTTTTATTGCTACTTAACACCAACATCTGGATTTAGTTTAAACAGTGGGACAATTAACTAACAGGGGATAAATAACAGCAGCGGAGAAACTTAAATAAAAATGTACGTATCAACACATAAAAACAAAACACATGCACACCGTACTCCTAAATAAAATTAAGAATTTTTAATTAGAAACAGACTTAATTTTTTGAGTTTTATTTTGAGTCGCCTCGCCGGAAGTTCTGCTCTTTCACCGCTGCTATCATTGTGTTCATTGACAATGTTACCCGCTAGCTTCCAGGGGACATCCGCTCCGGCCGGGCAGCAATGGGACGACTGCGATTTTCATTCCAAACAAATCGATTCGAAGCTTGGAATGAGCGTCAAACGTTGAATAATTGGTAGTTTTAGTGTTTTAAATTCCTTTATGGTTTATTTCGGCCCTGGTTGTGAAGCGAAATCGTCCGGGGTGGAACTTGGCTGACTTGTTCGTCTCGGGGAAGGAAGTTTGTTGTGGCGAAGGAAGCGTAGGAAACCGGGAGGGCCGAAACATCCCGTCATGATGGAGGACTTCGGCTCGGCTCTGGAGAAGAACGTCGCCGACCTCACGGTGATGGACGTCTACGACATCGCGGCGGTGGTGGGCCAGGAGTTCGAGCGGATCATAGATCAGTACGGCTGCGAGGCTCTGTCCCGGCTGATGCCCAAAGTGGTGCGGGTGCTTGAGATCCTGGAGGTGATGGTGAGCCGCAGCAGCATGAGCCCGGACATCGAGGAGCTGCGGCTGGAGCTGGACAGGTTGCGGCTGGAGCGGATAGACCGGCTGGAGAAGGAGAAGAAGCACAGACAGGTGTGACAGAGCGGGGCAGCACGGCAGACTGACTGACCGAGGGAGAGCCATGTTGGTCTGGTTCTACCGACTCACTGCGCCGGTCACACTACAGTGTGCTTACTGAAAATTTAACCCAAGAGAAATTGCTTCATTAAAATATTATTGAAGTATAAAAATAAATATGTAAGTGAATCTTTTAAGGATACAAGTTAAAGTCATGAAAGGGCTGAAAATATTTGACTAATGAATTAAGAGCAAATTTCAAATGCAATAAATCTGGACGTAGTTTAAAAATAATAAAGTATTTTTACTAAATACTGACATTAAATCTGCGTATCAGCAGCACTTACAAGGAAACCTCCAGACAACTTTCATATTTTTTATTGTTATAAAGGGCTAACTATATGCCTGAGGTGATAGGTTGTTTTGTGCTCTAAAATCTTATTCAAAAGAATAAAATTTAGTTGTATTTACACGGTATTGTAGTTACATTGACTCCGAAATGAAGATGAAGCAGAAAAGGGGTCAATCAAGTGCCTAATATTTTCTTTTTATTTGAAGAATATTTTATTTATCTGAAATTATCACCCTAAAAGATAAAATAAAGTGTCCATTTACTAGACTTGAGCTCCGCTGTTGAACTAAGGCTGCACAAAATTATTCAAAGGACTGCAAACAACCCGAGCCTCACCTTTGACACCCCTGATATACAGTAACTTGTAAAAATATTCATGGCCATTCAATTTTTCAAAAAAAAAAATAAAAATTATGATACAAACTTAAGTTCTTTGAGTTTTTTGCATAAAGTCTCAATAAAATTACTAAATATATGCAGTTGCAAAGTACGAAACCAGACTTTAGAGAACAAAATGAAATGATTTAATCTGAGAATACATTGAAATAAACAGCTAAGCAGTATAATAACAAAAACTACGAGTAAAAATCTCGATATGTAAACATAACGTAACATTCTGCTTCACATTTTACAGCTGCAGCTGATAAGGGAAAACATGGGCATGCTGTGATTTTTATTTAGCGGTAGCAGTCGGTCTGCTGAGTGCCGTAAAACAGTTTCCAGGTCAGCTTCTCGTGACAGTGACAGAGTCGGCAGCAGACTGATTAACTGGGTCTCATGACTGTGAGATAGTGGACGCCGTGGCTGGCGCGCGTGCGAGAAAAGTGCGACCGAGCTGCGTTGAGTTTCACGCGCAGAATACCTCAAACGCTCTCGTGGAAGAAATGTGAGTAGGACAGATAGCAGGTTAAGGTTTTTGTGGTAGTTTTATCCCTACAAAACTAATGAGGGCACTTTGCTTTTTCTCTCTCTCTCTTTCTAACACACAATAAGAAGCTGAAATGTTTTTTCTGTAACTCCAGCAACATTAGCTGACCTTCTGTTGAGGTGCGCTTGCTTTTGAACAAAGGTCATCAGATGATTTAAACTCTCTGGATTTAGTTTCTTTTTTCTTTTTAGTTTATTTTAAACATTATTGGAAAATAAGAATAACTGCAACACAACTGAAACAGACGTTTCACACACTATTTAAACTTGAAACCAGAAATATAAAGATACATGTGTTTTTTCCCCTCACTCTCTGAAGTTGAAACAAACCAAACTTCTCTTGTTTTAGGTTAGTTAAAATTACAACAATTATTTCTGTTTGCTAAATGCCCCGACGATGAGTGAATATGTCAGAGATTTATTTATTAATGTCGTATAACCGGCCTAAAATAAGAAAAGCTTGGTCTGATTTAACGTGAGAGGAAAGGTGACTGTAAACTTCTGGCTTCAATAATATCAGATCAGTCAGTAGATATTATAATATTAAAGAAAAAAAGAGGTGTGCTGTCTAAATGAACAGACAAACCTAAAAAACAAACAGATGAACTGACTCGTTTCCTTCTGTCTCGGTGCTGCAGCGCACAGAGAGTTGCTAACAATACATTAATTATCCTGGTCGGTTTCATTTCAGCGGTTCTTCCAGATGATTCATCTCCCGTCTTGTTGATGGAGTTGACCTGGATGGCATCTCAAGGGTTCATTTACTTAGATGAGTCAAAATCTCTCAGAGTGAGAGATTATCCTGAGCAGAGCAGTTTAACCAAGTGGAAAAACTGAGAGATCCTTTCTTTACGTCAGTCAGGTCTAAACGCAGAGTTAATAGTAGCTCTTCCTCAGCTGCAGAACCAGAACCAGCTGTTTCTAATGCAGCTCATGAAAAGCCTTTATTCATCGTTATTTGGAATTTTTGATATAATTCTGAAAAATATATAGAAACCTTCCTACATTCAGAGGTAGAGCCACGCAGAATACTGCAGCAGTTTGTGTCACAGCAGCCGTATGAAAAGCCTCTGACTGAAGACGGTGTGTTGCTGTGTATCACAGTTATTTGGGGTTAGCTGGTTACCTTAATAACAGCCCATGACTATTGCTTCTAGATGTACTAGCATACTGTCAGCCAGCTGACAAGCAGTGCACAGCAACAAGTTGGAGAGGGGCCATCACATTGTTCTGACTTTACCCTCCACAATAGGATTGCTCCGATAAGTAGGCCCAGAAATCCTTTATTTTGGGACATAAGTGATCGGCTGATGTTAACGTCAAACCGCCCACCAGGTCACGTCTCTGCCGTTGTTAATTTAGCAACTTTCCCCCCAAAAAAATGCTATTGACTGCAGCTTCAGGCACCTGTCTACCCATGTCTTATGATGTTTGTGTTTTTTGTTCTATCTTTTGAAATGTTGTCGTGCTTTCTTGCGCAGTGACAATAACTGAATTCTGATTTGCTGTGAATCAGACTTTACTGTGGTGTAAAATTTAAAGACATGACTCAGATACAGACCCTGTGTTAGCCAGGATGTTCACGCTGTCGTGAAATGAAAACTCGTTCCTTATTAGTTCTCACTTAAAGTGAGACAGCACCGCTACATCTCTGGATCTGGGTCAGATCAGCAGATTATGGAGCTTCACTTTGAGATTTAAGTCGTGTAATAATGAGTTGTTTAAAAATGTGTGTGTTCAGGAGTTGGAGCGGGTGGAGGACGTGTGGCGGGGAGAGGCCCAGGACCTCCTGTCCCAGATCGCTCAGCTGCAGGAGGAGAACAAGAACCTCCTGTCCAACATGTCCCTCAAAGACTCTGTGAACGAGGAGGACCTGCAGAGGCACGAGGGTGAGGCCGGCGCTCCTGAGAGCACGCCGTAGAGACCCGGAGGTCACGTGTTCTTCTCACCAAAGGTCGTCACGGTTAAAACTAAAACGTAACGAAATAGCGAAAACTGAAATTGAGGAAACGTTTTCGTTAACTAAAGTAAATAGAAACGGTAATTAGTGGAGAAAAACTGGAACTATATCATGCGTTTATCATGCTGAAATCATAAATGTTCTTTGTTTTTGTGTTTGTGAATCTATTTATTGGCCTTTCGAACTAGATTCATTTCACACACAAACAGTTCATGTCGGACGCCTGCAAATTACGAAGCTCAATATTCTGCTTGACGCAAAATGGCTTCAGCAAAAGTTGGGAGAAAACACCAGAATCTGTCATTTGCTTTGTAATAACTGAATACATTTTTAGAAAATGGGATCTTCTGCTGAGTATTTACTGACCAAATTGATGTGTTCATAATCACAATGCAACACTTTGAATTCTGAACCAAAAAATGAACCAAAGTCTGAAAAAACTGAGACGACTAAATTAAAACTAAACAACACTGAACTAATAGGAACTAACAAAAACTCACAAACGCATTCTAAAAACTAAGACTAAATGAAATATACAAACAAAAAGTCACAAAGAAATAAAACTAAACTACAATGAAAAACCCAAAACTATTAGAATCCTCTTTATGACATAATATATGTAGAGACGTTCGGAGCTCATGTTTGTTTTACTGACTTGATCTTATTATTACTTCACACTACTTCAATGCGCTACGTAATTGATTTTTTTTCTTCCTTTGGACAGTGGAAATGTTTACACCTGTTCATCCAAGTGGGAAACGATAGTTCACGTTCCATCATAATGGAGATGAATAACATTTTAATGATTTATTAAAACACAATGAGATGAAAATTGGACTCAAAGCTTCAGTGACTGAAGTGTCACCCAAAGACAAAAGGTGAAAGATTTTGCAGCATTTTCTTCTAACCAAAACCGTCTAAGGTTATAATGTTAGCTAATCCATGCCAATATAGCATATTAATCTTGTTAATAAGAATACAGATGTTGTAGTTTCCTGTTTTAAAGTTAATGCCAGGAATAAACCTAATTCTCTTTCATTTCTCTGCAGAAGTTGCTTTAAACATATTTGAGAGAAATGCTTTGTTCTTCTGTTGCTTGAGGTTACGACCCGGAAAGGTCAATTTTGTATTTTCACGTTGTGGAATTTGACATTTTCTCTTCAAAAAACAAAACAAAACGTAAAAAGTCCGCTACATGTCTCTCAGTTCTTCGCTCAACGGCCTCGCACAGAGGCGCACACAAAGAAAGCCTTCTCTGTGTCCGCCTCGTCTCGACCTCTGTGTCGTCCGACACAGACGCCGCAGTGATCCCGCCGCCCCGCCGGACAGACCAGCCTCAGTGCTGGTCAACACCTGCCAGACTCGCACACAAATCGGCCTCCGTGGCTTCTCCCCCCTCTCTCTCTGCTAATAAACGCTGGGGATTAAAAAAAAAAAAATGTCAGAAATAGATCTTCTCAGTTTGCAGTCCAACACTCAGCTGCTCTCTTCCAGGGATGACGGAGAGGGAGAAGCAGGTGATGATGAAGCTGAAGGAGGTGGTGGACAAGCAGAGGGATGAGATTCGAGCGAAGGACCGCGAGCTAACGCTGAAAAACGAGGACGTAGAAGCAGTAAGGCCACTTCCTCTGCAAAGGGGCGTCAGAGAGAATGGCAGGAAAAACTTACACCGCAAAAACACAACATCTTACCAAGTGGTTTTGTCTAGTTTCTAGCGAGAATATCTTAGAATACTTGGGGAAAAAGACTGAAATAACCTACAAGTAACTTTTTTAGAAAGATACAGGAGCTTGTTTTAAGTTAATAATTCCTGAATATTGATGAAAAAGTCCAAGTTCCACTAGCAGATTATTTCACTTGTAACATGGAATTAAATCTATTATTAGTGAAAAATCTGCCAGTTGAACTAGTACTTCTTCATCAATATTAAGGAATTATTGACTTAAAACAAGCTCCTATATCTTACTGAAAAATAACTTGTAAATTATATTTTCTTATTTCAAATGAATTAAGATAATTGCACCAAAGACTACGTCAGATATACATGGTAAGATTTTGTGTTTTTACAATGTTGGCATCAAATTTCTTTTTTTTTTAATACTCCCTCCACATTGTTGCATATCTGCCTTACGTTTGATTGGCCGTTAAAGTTAACCTTCTGTTATGGCCTCATGCATTCAACACTGCAGTGTAGATGATCTTAACCAGCGAATTTGTTCTGGATTGTCCTCCAGATTGTAACTATCCCCTTTTTTGAAGGACAATTGCATTTACAGAAACTTCATAAATCATTTTACTTGTTATTTCTCTTGTTTTATTTGTTTATTTTGTATATTTAAAACAACTCCGTCTTTTCCTCCTGCAGCTCCAGCAGCAGCAGTCTCGCCTCATGAAAATCAACCACGACCTGCGGCACAAGATCTCCGTGGTGGAGGCTCAGGGCAAAGCGCTGATCGGGCAGAAGGTGGAGCTGGAGGCCGGCGCCCAGGCACAGGCGCAGGAAGTCTGCGCCCTGCGGCAGGAAGTGACGCGCCTACGGGAGCGTCTCCACGGAGAGCCGACGGCGCAGAGCCCCGAGGAGCTCCTGGTGCCTCAGCCGCCGTCACCGGCAGAGGTGAGAGACGCACAGAGATCAAGTTCAGGCTGACAGCTGCTTTTAAATATATCAGGGACAACTCTGAGACGCTTGGAATTTAAATATTTGCTCGTATTTAATGTCGGCGGTTTAACGAGACAAAAGAAGTGACTTCATTCAGCTGTGATAGATGTGTTTCCTCCATGGACTCGTCAAGGTTTTTCTCTGTAGCTTTGCTGTTTTTTATGTTTCCATAGTATAACCTCAATTTCTCTTTCAAGCTGCCTTATGCAACTTTTATAAACACTATTTTATTTTATTTTTTTTACATGTTTCTTAAAACTGTCACTATGTCATGCTAGTATGTGAAATAGTGAAAAAATAAAACTCCTCCCATAAATGCATTGTTCCTGGTCTAAAGCAACCAGTCACAGCCAGGAGGAGGATCTTAGCGCTGTCAGTTAAGCTTGCATACGCGCTGCTAAATGTGCTAATGGTAGAAAACCAAGACATCATTCCAGGAAAACTTTATATCCACCACCAGGCTAACTAGCCTTGGCATTCATGGCAGAACAAGCTGTAGCCTAGCAAAGAGCAAGGGCAAGGGTGTGAGCGTTGCATCCATGAGGGTGATTGACAGTGCTAAGACCCTCCTCTTGGCTCTGATTGGTTGTTTTTGACTGAGCAATGGATTTCTGCAGTAAGCATTGGGACCCAGTTTATGTGCTTCATCCTGCATTGTCTCGACACAGTGAAGGTTTAAAAAATTTAAATGAAACACGTTTTTTAAAAATTAAAGTTAAATCCTCCAAGTTGATGCGCAGAAACATTCTGCTGAAGATCTTCCGTCACATTTACCTCAGAGACTGTTTGGGGAATAATAAAGTGTTTTTCATTTCGCCAGCGGGATAAGAGCGCCGCAGTGGTTTTGAGCGCTGAGGGTTGGTCAGACAGACCGGGCGCCTGCCGGCTGACGGCGGGGGGCTTTGAGCCGCCTCCGCAGACCCATACTTCCTTCCTCAGCTCAGAAGGACATGAAGATGAGGAGGAAGCTGCGTGGCTTTGGGTAATGCAGGCTGGCGTGATGTTTAGTTTTCTCCACGACGACGGCTTCAAAAAGCTGCCGGTCTAACGGCGTGACGCGGGCGGAGTGGCTCTGCATGGCAGTCTGAAAACTAACACGTGTCAGCGGGGGATTTGTTTTTTCCTCTCCCGCCAAGTGGGTGAGAACTTTTAGATGACTGCACTGACGATGCCTCTAAATATAGATCAGCATGACGACTCAACCTCAGGCGGCACTTGAAGTTGTTGTTTCAGTGATCAACAAACCCTGAAAGGCTGGTTCATCTTCCAACCAAAAAGAAACAAGTGGGGGATTTTTTAGCAGGTGTTTTAGGCAGCAATAGACTTAGAAATATTAGACGATTTATTTTTAGAGGTTATATTTAATCATCTGTGTGTTCGTTGGAAACTCCCAACGTGCAACAAAAAGATCAAAGGATCTCATGTGGAGATAAAAATGTCACATCAGTAAAATATTCAGTGGAAACTCTGAACCTCAAATGAAATTGGTTGGAATAGATCATTTATATATTGAGTGTCTGAATATGGAAACATGTTTCCCTGTTGAAAATAATAGACAATAATAGACACCGACAAGCCCACCCACCAAAACATACACAACACTTAAAATCAGCCATTTTCAACCTATTAGTCATTAAAACTATACTATATGACTGCTACAATGTTAGCAGAAGTGTTCCTAAAATAAGAAAATTGAACACTTTTCCAGTTTCTCTGGGACATATTGATGATTAAGAACGTAAAAACGGACCGGTACAAGACAGGTGTGTAGTTCTGTGAATTCCCCACATACTTCATCTGAAGTGCCGCGATCGACTCTGACTGACGTAGACGCGCGACAGAAATCACATCATTTTGTTCACGGAGAAGCATCCGCCTCCCGAACTTGACGCCAGGCCCAGTCGAAGTGTCATGTGATTGATCAGAAGTTTGTCGCCGTGTTTTATGCAGAAATGCTCTCGGACAGCTCTGTTGATATTTCTCTCCAACAAGCCCTCTTCTACTGTTCATACCAGAAGGCGACATGAATACCTTTTTAAGAACATTTATCTGACGCGGTGAGAAATGATGTACATTTGTACATAAATAACTTTTGTAGTAATAACCATACTGTCAAATGGCTAATAACTCCTGTAAATTGCAGCGTCATTATCCACAGAGGCCGCCTGCTGAAAAGCGCGTCTCTCTTTTGGTGTTTGTGTGAACCCCGGAGGTCAGCAGCTTCAGCAGAAAACATTTTTCCTTATTTCTTCTGTTCTGTGGCCTCAGTTGAGTGTTCACTTATTTTGTCATAAATGAGAAAGTGGTGTCCATTTAAAAATTGGAAAACTGATTGAATTTGGAAAAAATTGTAATTAAATGTATGATGTCAGACGTTGTTCCTTTAAAACTTGTATCCATAAGAGTAAATTCTAACCAGTCCCTGCGTGGCTTAGTGAGCTGCATGTGTTTGGGGTGTTTTTCTTTAACCGAATGCGATTGTTTCTGGTTTGCTGAGTTAAAAGTGAGAAACACGTCACATCTTTAAGACAAAAGAGATACAGACAAACTAATTACATGTTTTAAACAAAAAAAAACAAAACAAAAACGCTCATATCTGACTTGAAGTCCAACATCTGCCACCAGGAGGCGATGTGTGACGAGGACATGCCTGGTGTGTTCCAATATTTCACCAAGGTATCCTCGCCTCGTACCCGCTTCCTCCTCCTTCCATGCTGGCCGGTTTAGTTCACTCTGTGTGATGCACCGCTGTCTCGGCAGGAGGCGATGTGCGAGGAGGAGTCGGGCGGAGTGGACCCGAAGGACCCCAACCGGCCCCGCTTCACGCTGCAGGAGCTGAGGGACGTCTTGCACGAGAGGAATGAGCTGAAGGCCAAAGTGTTTCTACTGCAGGAAGAGCTGACGTACTACAAGAGGTAGATGGAGTGGAGTGGATTCTTCCTAGCTTATGACTGGACCAACAATAACAGAGCTGCTTCCTTTCAATCGTTCTTCTTCTGGCCTTCATGCTGGGCTGATTTCCTGTTGATGTGATGCTATTTGGAACGAAAAAAGATCACTTTGCATACTGTGGTTTCTCTTGTTGCATCGTACCTTTGAGTCATCCTCATCTGTCTATATCTTTTTAAACAACAAATAGTAACAATTTTCCACAGTGTCATTCTTCTATCTGTACCCATTATAAATTATATGAACATTCCACGTTATAAATAAACAAAAGAAGAGATATCGATAATATTGTCAAAAGTTATAACAATGAGTACAATACAGTCACCCAATCATAATGGTATTTTTTTTACTGAAAGTGTACAGTGAGTGCAAAAATCTATCTACTATTAAATTGTCTGTGTCCGTCTTGGAATGGTTGCTGCTGTAAATAAATTGGGGGCTCGTCCAGGATCTTTATTTTTCAGATACTTGTAAGAGGCTAAATAAACCCAACAAAAGTAAAATATGAGAGTCCTGCTTGAAGACTTCAATAAAAACTATTTATTTAGTAAAGTTTTATAATCCAACAATATTTGGAAAAACAAGCATTTGTCCAAATATTTTCTTCATGAGCCTCAAATCATGTATACTTCAATGTATTTCTATGATGCTAGTCCAGGTTTCATTCATTTCTCCACTTGGTACAATATGGCTCTTTCTCACTTAGTTTTCTGCACTCATTTCGCAATAAAATAAACACATTGCCACATTCTTTTGTTCATTGCCAACATGTTCTTGTGTAAAATGCATTTTTCTTGATTTGTTAGCGTATTCAGAGGAAACACTTTCATCCTGCATTTTCCACACATATGTGCTTGATGACTGTAATCGTTTCTTTTCACAGTGATGAAGTAGACGATGACATCGCAACTCCTTCTCCGTCTCCCTCCCCTGAGCTGAGGACCCGCTCTCGGTCGTCCGCCCAGCCCGAATCGGGAATCAAGCGACTGTAAGTCACAGCTTCATGCCCACAAACACACCCGACCTGTAGGGTGGGCAGCAGCCTGTCACAGTCTCCCTCCCTGCTCTGCGTTAAGGCAAATGATTAGTTTGCATGTGCAAAGCAAAGGGTGTCGTTTTGCGTTCTTGCTTCAGCCGTTTATCTCCCAGAGAAGCGGATCTGCAGGTTCATAACTTTATTTCAAGCTTGTAGCAGTACATCACAACCTTACACACACACATACACACATCCAAAAAAAATCCTGTTATTGGTCATCTGAGGAAAACAGCACATTGCGACAGTCTCTTCCTGCGTTTGTCTGGCTGTGAAAATAAACTAGAGGTTACACAGTGAAACTTGCTGAACTCTAAATAAGTGCTCTTTGTGGCTGCATGGGAAAATGTATGTTCTCTGAAAACTTTCGCTACCAAACACAAACCCAGTGATCTACCATAAGTAGCCACTAGGTAGAAATCTGACGATCCGGGAAATTCTTTTCCCGCTTTTGTTGTTGCCTTTTCTGTGTTTGTCACTAACACTCTCCACCTACACTCTACAAACATGATTGTCTTTTTAAATTGTTGTTAATGAAGGCCTTTATGTGCAGTTTAAAACAGCTTCTCCTCACATGTTGGCTTTTTTGGTGCTTGAGACCATTATTGTCTCTTCATGCTTGCTTTATTGTAGTTTAGGAGAACTAATAATAACTACGAAAAGTTTCAAGAACAGCACTATGTATTTAAAGTCAGGAATACAGTAGCTCCGTTTCCACTACAAATGTGCGCAAAACTGTTGATATTCCGCTAATGTTAAAAAAACAAACAAACTACAATTTCACAATTACGGTGTTTCCGTTAAATTAGAAACGCAATTAAAATCACACGTGAATAAGTTTGTTCATGTCGTAAGTCATTGCGAAACATCCTCCTACCACTTCCTGTCGTCTTCTTCATCATTTCCGCTAGCAGTAACATCCAGTTGTTGACTCTTGAACTGCGAAAAAAGTATTTCCGTTGTAGTTTTGCGAAAAACGCTAATTTCGATATGGCAGAAAAAAACATTTTTATCGAGAAACTTGAGGGTTTTTTTTCCGGAATTGCCTTGTTTCCATTCAGCAAATTTATTTTCATAATTCCAAATTTCACAGTTTTATGGTGGATGGAAACGCAGCTAGTGTTTCATTGTGTGTGTGAATGAACTCTGACATGACTTTTGTTACATCCCCCACCCCCACCCTCCTCTTCCTCCTCCTCTTCCTCCTCTTCCTCTCTGTGCAACAGGATCTTCACAGCCATAATGCCGATGGTGGCGGCTGGTTTGATCCCAGATGACCCCACTTTACAGCCAATCAGACGCCTCATGTCGCTTGTATGACTTTATTTTGGCTTTCAGCCCGTCACGGTTCCTGCTAACAGCCTCCACCCCGCTGCATGTGCCTCACCTTTGTAGTATTCTGATTGGCTGATTGTGGGGCTGTCTGATTGTTGTGGTGGATCATTAAAAAAAATAAATAAATCAGCCAGTCAGAATAGACGTTAGTTTTGTTTCACTCAATCACTTTGGCCTTTATGTTCTTTAGTGAATCACTTTCTAATGTTTCTGATCAATTTATAGGGTTCACAGTAAAATCTGCAGAGATTAATTTAAAATAAATTCTGTAACTTTCAAATCATTTAGACCTCTGAGAGATCTAACAGACAAGATCACTGTAGGATATTTAAAATTAAATCGTTTTAAGTGTCAATGAATCAAAGAATCTCGCAAAAGAGCATTTGTGAGGTCAGACACTGATGTTGGACTCTCTCACTCATGTCCTCATGCACTGTCACGTTGAAACTGGTCCAACATGGTTGGGATTGTCCAAAAGTTCCTTTCACTGGGACTGAGGAGCCATCATCTCTAAATCAAGAGATGATGCTGGTGATGGTAGCATTATGCCGTGTGGGATTGTTTCACTACGATATTCTCCATTGTGGATGGAATAATGGAAAAACATCTTGAAGCAGCAGCTAGAGTCTAGCTGCTAGACTGATGAAACCCAAAAGCAGTTTTGTGGAAACTGGAAATATTACTGATATTAAGAGTTGCTGACAAAATGTACGAAGTATAAAGTATAAATTCTGCAGCTGCTTCTGGGTCTGTCAGTAGTCGGAGAGCAATAAAAACATTTATATCAGATCTTTTACATCATTTGCAACATTTTTCCTAATGAATTTCCCCTAAACACAATATTTTCTTTCACCTAGTTTTTCGTTTTTTTGCTATGAAATTAAACAAGATCTAAAACCACAACTAAACTCTATCCCCAAAGAGCCCTGGAGGGGGCGACATTAACAGCACTGTTACCCTAACTCCTAACACCGCTTTTCATGTTTTGTTCAGTTCCTGACCTCACAGTCATGACTGTGTTTCAAACCTCTCTGTGTCGTCTCTTCAGGTTTAGCTTCTTTTCACGTGACAAGCAGCGCGGCGCACAGCGGGGAGCGCCAATTGACGCCGGAGGCGGCTTCAGGTCCTGGATGCAAAAAGACGACGTGTACACAGAACAAGCCCAGGAGGCTCTGCAGCATCTGTAGGATGCAAGAATACACTCCACTCCTCCCCACGCACATCAAACTACCGCTACAGACTCATTCTGTGCTTCAACCTGAGGGGCCTCGCAAGAAACAAGAGGATCTTTTCGGAGAAATGCATCAAGAGGTTTATTTAAATAAGAGACGATACGTTGTCAGTTTAGAGACTGTGCAGCTTTGAAACGCCAGACAGTGTTTTAGTTTTCCAGGAATCGTTTCCACAGGAGGTGGTAGACCCACGTTGAAGGATGGAGAGGCTGGATGTTGACGAGAAGACGAGACGGGAGTGTCAAGCAAATTTATTTCGACTGAAAAAAGGAAGTTCTCTACATTTTTATTTTTTATCAGTAGAAGGTGAAGCTGCGAGGGAAAATTTGACACCGTTTAGTTTTACAGTATTTTAACGTTTCCAGCCACTTTGGTCCCGACATGTGATCACCACCAGCATTTAGGGACTTCTGAGCGGCTCCACAGATCAACTCTGCGTCTAATCATGATTTAAATACTGGAGATACTGGAGGCCATTTCTTCAAAGAAAACAGCGTGAATGAGTAAAGTTGAGGCCATGTCAAAACAGTAAACTGAAACTCAAACAAATGACAAAAATGGCAAACTTTGGCTTTATGCCATGATTGAGATAATTATAATATTATACCATGGACGTCTTCAGCTTTCTTTTAGCATAAGAAATTAAATTCAGGAGATCTTATCTCATTAAGTTACGTTAAGCAACCTCCCTAGTTCTTATTATAAGGCCTAAATACATGCCTTATCCCTGAGTCAGCAGATTTTTTACATTAAAATCTTGTCATTTATACATAATGGTAACAATATTTTAGTAAAACAAAGAGGACAAGGGTTTTCAAATCATTGTAGAGCCAAAAACATTAATAGGGTTTGTGTGATTGCCCTATTAAAAACAAACACATAAGGTTGACACTTTTGTGGGAGTGTTTTCTATTTTCTCGTCTATTTTCAGTAATAAGAGTGGATTTGGGTTTCTCCCTAAAAAATATAGCTTTCAAATCAACCACTGTAGCTTTGTCATAGAATTACAGTATAATAATTAATAATTTTGAAATCGCTTATGTAGCTTCTATGCGATATTTAACATAAAAATTTTGTGATGTCGGATTTTCTTGGCAGAAATGGGATTCCGTAGAAAATGTTATTCTTTTTGTTTTGACTCATTATGAAATGAACCATTTTCTCCATCAACTAGCAATACTTTTCTACCAGTTGTATCTGAATGTATAAAATAATCCTCCACTTATATACTTCTGCAACTCTAACGATGCCAAATCAGCCCCGGCGTTTGGTGCCAAACTTTGAAAACCGAAACTAAAGTCGGCTTTAGTTTCGCCGACTTAACCAAAACATTTTGTTTTACATCCGCTTTATTTCATGATTTCATGCAGATGTTTCTCTGTGTTACATTACGTTTATACAAGTCATGGGAAAAAATATATGGAAAGGTGTGTTTAATGAAAAAAAAGCTCAAATTTACAAAGTTGTAGACCACGTAATACAGAGCAAACACCATGTTGCTGTCCTCTGAATGGATCATTTTCAGCTTGGCAATGAAGACATCAGGAAAGTCGCACAGGAGATAAAATATTTTGGATGAGAAGGATGCAGTTTTTATTTCATTTTATATTTTTTTTTATGTTTTTACAGTTTGTGCTTCATTCGCTGCAGTGAGATAAGCTGTGTGTTTTAATAGTGACAGCACTTTATCCTTATTTACGCTCCTCAGAGAGCCGGAATAAATTATTGTAAAAGGACAAGAATGCTATATAGCAAGAACACGATGATAAAGGCAAGTGTGTTTGTGTGTGTGTGCAATTAAGCAATTTCTCTCTTTTTCTCTCACATAATTAAGCCTGGAAGGACAATAACACAGAATTAAAGGGAAGTCCAGACAAAGCAGCTCAATATTTCTCTTCTATCATGTCTGCACTCTGACAGGCAGATGTAACAAAAGCATCATGGCTCCAGTTCAAACCTGTTTCTTTAGTAATTAAAGTCATTAACATGAAAAGGGTGTTGTATGTCTTCATTTGATTCTACATGCTGATTTTTTTTTTCTTTTCATCCACGTAAAGCACGTAAAGTGAAAAAGTAAACCCTTTTTGGCCACCAGAGGGCAGGACATCCAACTCATCTACAGTTCTAGCTCGACACTCGGGGAAAAGCGAAGCAGGTGGACAAAGGGGCGTCCCAGCCGTTGGAGAGACGGCAGGTGTGGTTGATGGGAAGGGACGCTGGACTACCAGGAAGTATTCACGACACCACGGTACTGCGAGTGTCCACATAGTATCTGGTAGTAGTATCTGGTAACTGCTCGAGGGATTTAACTAACGCGGGAACTAGCGGTGTGGTTTTTGTCGTTTATTATATCGCAGCAAAACGATCAAAAATGCCAGTGTAAGTTTTTTTTTTTTTCTTAAGAAGCTACATTTCCCTTGTGGTGTTGTGCTCCATTATGCCAGAAATAACGCAGATATAATGTCACCAAATTATGGCTACGTGGTTTAGAAAGTTGCACCTCTTTGAAGCCCATCTTTGTACTTCCTGCTGTTTGTGTGTTTTTGATGTTTCTTCTTGGACAGAAATGGTTTCTTTCCCTGCCCTTCCTGTCAAAAGGTCTTTATCCTAAAGTCTCTCACTGGAGGTGAAGACACACAGCAAGAAGTGGATCAAAATTGGGTATTGAGGAAATCAACCTTTTCAGAAATCTCAAAAAGATGAGAAGCATTTGACAAAAACTTTAAATTTTGAGCATGTCTGATTGCTGAAGCCCTGTAGTTGTACTAAATTCAGTTTTCTCGGTTAAGACAACTTTATGCTTGAATCCCAAAGCTAAAAACCCCTACAGAAAATGCTCATCTTCCCATAAAAACAAACCAGATGCACCAATCCTTTTATTTGCATATTAAATCTTTATTCATGAATGCTTGAACACCAGCATTAAGATTTCTTCAGCGCTACAACAAGCATTTTCTGTCCTAAACTGTGGAAAAAGTCAGTTTTACCCACTTAAATATTTGTTGCATCTGTTCCATATTGTTTTTTTTTTCTTAGAAATTACAATGTAATGTACTTAGAAATATTTATATTAAAACATTTTACACAAGTATTCCTACTAAATAGAAGTTAAGACAGGAAATGACAGTAGCTTGAAATTTCTCGACTGGCCTCTTCGTGTAGACATCGCTTGCTTCTGTGAAAATTAATCATGAATTCGAAAAAAGAAATGCCAACTGAGCAGAAAAAGACTTAACAAAATAAATGAATGCGTCTTGGCAGAGAAAATATTAAAGTTATTGTTAATACAAAAATGGCTTCCTGTACAAGCCAACAAACTACAACTAGTTAAAGATGAGTAGATAAATGCCAAACTTGAGTATTTTTCCAACTGGCTCTTTAGCTAAAATTTAAATGTAAAGTTAAACTTTTTGTGACAGAAATAACCAATGATGCAAAAGTTGAATCTTAAATTCCATATTGAAAACACAGCCTTGAAACCTGACTTGTTAAAGAACAGAAACTCTCTGACCAAATATTTCCTAATTAGTTTCAAATAATGGTAAAGCTCATTTCATTTTTTAAGCTAACTAGGTAAAATTCTTCCAAGATTCGGTTACTTTTGGTGGCTTCAGAGGCTAGCTGATACTTCTAGTTATATAGTTGAATTATGTTGCATAAAGGTTAACTTTTGTTTTCATTTGGCAACAAAAGACAACATACGCAGGCAACTTCTAAAATCAGTTTCCCTCCATTTCAGCTGTGTTATGGTTATGCTGTGTAGCTGCAGCAGTAGCTTGGGTTAAAAAGAACTACTTATCTTAATAGAGGGGGAACAAAAACCCCTGAAGAACTTCATTTTACACAAGTCACCTCTAAGAAGGATTCCCGAGGTTTACCCATATTAAAAATCCACAATATAATAATAATAATAATAATAATAATAATACTAATAATAATAAGGCAGTAATCAACGAGTTAGAAGGGACAGCTAAGAAAAATGCGCAATCTTGTAAAAAACAAAAAACAAAACTAATTTTCATTTTTATTCACCAATAAGCTTGTCAGCAACTTTCTAAACTACTTTGTTGCCCAACTAACTGAACGTAAAGTATAAACCCACCATTTTCTGTATTGGTACGCTCAACGAACATCTGTTGCTAAACGTCTTGGAACTCTAACACATGCAACATTTCCCTCTGATTTAATTTGCCCATAAAATAAAGACCATTTGGTTAAAAACTAGTTTCTGGTCTTTGTCTCAGAGTTGATGGAGACAAAGTTAAAAGTTTAAAACTTGCTTATTATTCAGATGAATACTTCCTATCGCAGTCAGCCATCAACCAATACAAATCATTGATTGAAATATCAATGATTCAAACTTTATTTATGGGGGAAACACACACACACACACACACACACACACACACACACATTCTGAGAAGTATATTATTTTTAGTTAGCATACCAACAAACAATGTACCATAATACCAATTCTATGTCTGAAGTTAAAAACAATATTTAGCAAAGAAGCTGATAGCTCATCAATGAATTTACCTTCTAGAAGTGAAATCAAGACCAACGGTAACGTTGGTAACCGTTGGGGTAAATGGTGCACAGGCAGAAATCTTCTCTTACAGTATGTCTGAAATTAATGCTAAAATAATGGAAAAAAGTTTTGAAAAAAAGTCAGATCTATGTTTAGAATGGTCAGATCAGGATGCCCCGCCTTTCTCCATATAAATTCATGCTGTCATGTTGTTGTGCCTTATTTACTTTTTGATACTAATGCGGTACAATTGAAAATGATCTGGTTTTATTCACATAAACTCAACAGATTTCCTAATCCTCTTTTGATCTGAGAGGGTTTCCGACATGCTTTTGGTAAAGTCCTTAGTAGCTTCGTTTCCATTACAGATGTGCACAGAGCTGTTAATATTCTGCTAATGTAAAAAAAAAAACACACAATTTCGCAATTGTGGCGTTTCAATTAAATAAGACACAAAATCATACAACAAAGTCTGTTCACACGATAAGTCATTGAAAGACATACTGCTGTGTCATCGTCCTCTATCTTCCTGTTGTCTTCTTCATGATTTGTGCCGGCAGCAACATCCCGTTGTTGATCAAGAAAAAAAAGCGTTTCCATTGGAGTTTGTCAAATACACCAATTTTGATACAACGAAAGAAAAGAAGTAGCAAAAGTGGCACTTTTCACCAAAAAAATATTTTTTTCCTTCAAAATTGGTGTTTCGCTCAAGCAAATTTATTTTCGAAATGTCAAGTTGCGCAATTATATGGTCAGTGGAAACGCAGCATATAAAATCCTCCTGCTCTTGTGGAAGAAGCATAGAATGACCTGGGAGTGTTTTCAGTTTGGCTTTAGATGCTTCGATATCGCCAGTCCTCTCTTCAAAGAAGAGATTTACTCAAAGTGTCTATCAGTACCTTCAATACCCGATGAGCCGATGACTTCTGGTCATTAACCCCAATTGTGTCTGTCGCCCAAATCAAAACCAGTTTCTAGTTAACGACTCCTTCTTTATGCAAACAAGGGACCTCTGATCACATCTCGTCACATTATAAAACCAAACTTAATGCCTTTCATTGGGATTTCATGTGATTCATATTGAATGAATGAATTGTTTAGATATATTCTGAAAAGTAGAGTGTGGATTTGTCTTTAGCTTCCTTAATTTTGTTGCCCCTAAATAAACTCCAGCTCATTAACCAGAGGAGCTGTTCTGAGTAAAGATATGCAAGTTAAAAACTTAAAAATATTTGCAGACAAGTTCTCTAGTTAGGGCTGGCTAATAAATCAATTTTGCGGGGAGGAAGAGGGTGATTTCCTTGAGTTTCTATAATTCAAAGTGACGCATCAAGGGCGGCCATCTTGTTTGACAAGCGTGTTTTACAGCTGCTGTTTATTTGGACTGAATTCAGGCCAGGCTAGGATTTTTTTTTAAACAAGACTAAAATTATAATCTTACAAGAATATTTGCATGTTTGTTAGAGACTTACTCCCAAATACTTGCTGCTGAAGTCAAAGCACCTGAAAACAGATGTATGCCACACTTTTCAGAATTTTACTTATTTAAAAAAAGGAGGGAGGGAGTTCCCTTTGAATGTTATTGTATTATTCTATGTTGTATTCTGAAATACTTTAATGTTTTTTTAATGTGAAAAGGTGTGTTTAGAATACCTTAACTTTAGACACTTTGCCACTGTCTGGCTCAGCATTTGGTAATAAATCCTTTAATGGCCGACAGGTGGAGGAAGTGGGAACAGCGTATCGGCTAAAGATCAGTCGACATTTAATCAAACAAATCTTAACATACACTTTCATTCAAGCAGTTACAGCAGAAAATTCTGCAAAGGAATCGCAGAAACTTTTATATTATTTTAACATTTTTTAAATTCAAATGTAACCGTCGTGTTTAATATTAAAAAATACATTATCATCTAAAAACAAAAAAGCAACAAAAAAATATCTATATATATATGTATATCACACTGGTTATTTCAGAGTTGCACAAGCTTGCATCACATTTCGACTTTTCACCAAGAGTCAAAACATGATCGAAAGCCTCCAAGATGGCAGCCGAGTCTGGAGTGTAGCTAACAGTCACATGGCCACCAGCCGCGGCAGATGGTTTCCATGTGGGACGGCGTGTTGGAGCCATCGTAGGCAGAAAAAGAGAAAAGAAAAGTGAATTTCCATGAAAGAACTCAGAATGCGAGTTTATTTTCTTGCAAATTTTTTGACTCTTCAAACCCTGAATTTTTAGGTTTTCCAAACCTAAAAATTTATGTCAGTATAATTTCTGACATCAATCCCAGATTTTTTTTTTTTTTCTTGGAAATGTACTCCTTTTAACTTTTTTCTTCTATCTGCAATGGCCCTAATATGCTGTCGTATCCATAGCTGAAGTTCACTGGAGCAGAATATTTTTCCTAAAAAGCCTTTTTTTTTTTTTTTTTTTTTTGGTGTTTTTTTTCCCCGTTGAACTTGGA